CCAGCCAGTCAATTGTCAAAGTCCAAGCAATGACCTTGGCAGTGTGCCAACATGCCAACAACACAAGCGTCGTCCCACTGACTTTATTTCCTTCTATGAATTATCAAACCCAAGCGTAGCTCTTTTGCCAACTCCAGTCCTTCCTCCTAGAGTTCTTTTTCAAGCATTTGGAAGATAGCCACTTCAAGAATGGAGTAAAGATATTAATAACTGATGCACGGAGGGGAGAGCAAGAGAAAACAGAGACGGTATGTGCAGTAACGTAGCAGAGCTGACTTGGCATCAGTTCATTACCCAGCAAGATTTCGTGGAGAGCAAGGATGCCATGAACATCCCAGTGCTGGCATCCAATGTGGCTAAATGGGTAGGAGGGAGCATGGGCCAGGCAGTTACCAGAATCAAACTCAAGCCCCATATCGTCACATATTCACCAAGTAACTGCAGGCACCTTGAGTCTCTCTAAGACAGATCTGCCTGCTAAAAAGAACAAGTCATCCTTTTCCAAAGTCTTGTGAAGAGGAAACGAGGTCACAGTAAGTATTAGGTAAGTGTCACCTTTTATTTTTGCAAACATTATTTACTAAAGGATCATTTTGAAAAAACCCCCCTATCCAGACAAGGGAATATCATTTGGTGCTAAGAAGAAATCAATTATCATGAAAACATATGGAGGAAGTTTTAAATGCATAGGATTAAGTGAAAGACACCAATCTTAAAAGACTCCACACTGCACAACCCAGCTAAGAAACACTGTGAAAAAGCCAAAACTATGTAGATAATGAAAGATCAATAGTAGCAAAATGGCTAGGGGACAGGGAGGGAGAACGGAGACAGGTAGAGAACGGAGGATTTAGGGGCAGTGGAATGATTGTGCATGATGTTATAATGAATTATACAGGTCACTGTGGCGTTTTTCCAAACCCACAGAATGTGCAGCATCCTATGAGCGCTCGTGTCAACCATGGCGTCTGGGTGACTGCCAGGTGTGGAAGTAGAATAGTAGGATATACCACCCTGATGTGGGATGGCAATATTGCAGGAGGCCGTGTATGCCACCAGGGAAAGGGAGAGGCAAGGGTATATGGGAACTTCTGTACTTTGCTTGAAAAAACTTGCTATTTAACAACAACAAAAAAAAAACACCTTTTTGAAGGGAAAGTAAATAAGACCTACAACCAAATTTTTATTTATTAGAGAATGTGTACCTTTCAAAACTTACTTGGGGGAGCTTAAGCACAAGGGAGTATTATTTTCAAGTGTCCCTGTTATGAACAACCTGGTTACCCTTTGGCAGACCTGAGTGTGGGTGTGGCCTGCGCACACAGGCATGTGAGTACAAATGCAGGCCTGCCTGTACACATGATCCATTTCCTCCTGTGATCCTCTGCGGTCCTACAGTTCACTGGTGCAACTTCACTAAAGCTGTAGGACTTTGTCCCCTCCAGGTTTCCAATGCCCAGTTTTCTGCCCTGGAAACCTTACTTCATTCTTCAGCTTGCCAACCACATGACCTAACAGGCACAGATGCCAAGCCAAGGCTTATGTCCACCAAGCAGCTACACAAGGCCTCAATTGTCTCCCAGTGACATCCCCAGACTCAGGGGGAGCCTGGTGTGTCCTGCACATCCCCCCTCGCGCCCACCCCACCATGAAGCTGGTGTCGAACCAGGGCGCAGTCATCCCTGTCTTGATATTTGCAGCACAGGGTGGGCAGTCCTCATTCTGTTTTCCATGGGCGCTCAGAAGCTCTGGCCTCTGAGTCAGCCTCCAATTATTGAGTTGTAAGGCCTCTTCCTCCACCATCCTACTCACTCAATTTTCCCTTTTTTTGCCATGTTTTTCTTCTCTGGCGTAATGTTATTTTACTTCTGATACATAGTATTGCTCCTTAGTTCCTTTGGAATTTTGAAAAGGGAAGCATCTCCAAAAACGATGCTCACCTGCTGGCTGCTGAGAACTGCAATAGCATCCAAGCCAGAAACTCGGTCTCAGTGTTAACCCTAAGGTTTATATCCAGTACAATAAATGTGTGGACCCCGCATGGGTTCCAAGCCCTGGTTTACAGAATGCTGTAACTACAGCAGCATGTCACATATTCTTGGCCCAAAGTAATTTCACAAAACAGAAATTGATTGTCAGGCCCTATAAGATGGCTAAAACGGCTAATCTTCAGCTTGCAGGTGCCAGGATTCCATATGGGCGTTGGTTCAGGTCCCAGCTGATGCATTTCCCATCCCATTTCCTACTTATGACCTGGGAAAGCAGTAGAGGATGGCCCACAGCCTTGGGACCCTGCACCCACATGGGAGAAATAGCTCTTTGTCTCCGTGGCGTATCTTTTGAAAAATGTATAAATTACAGTCTAGCTTGACTTCATGTCCTGGTTAATGAAAAATCCTAGCACCCACACCGCCTCTTCTAAGAACTTCCTCTGAGTCCTTTGAACCCAAGCATACTTGACCCTCTGGCAGTATCCATTTTTTTGGGTAAAATTCACCCCTACCTTGACAGGGGTAAACACTTTGTGTACAAGTGTACTTCATCTTTCATAGAATAAGACCAGCCTGGCTCGTGGCAAGCCTGTGGCAATGTTAGCAGGAACTGAACTGTGAAGTACATGGAGTAAACAGGAGGGAAGCTGTCTTCCACAATTCTCTGTGTTGGGGCCTGTTCTTCTGGGGGTCCTGCTCCCCTCCCGCCCTGATTAGATTCTGTGCTGCAGACCCCACTCTGCCTTACAGTGAGAGAAGCATCCTTCCAGCCCTGGGAGGGATTCACACTCAGACCTGGAATGGAGTTTCAAATAGGCACAATCCCCACACATCAACCAAAAGGCAGGGAGGACATTTCCATGCGCAACAGATTAAAAAACAAAACAAAACAGAAAAAACAGACCTTGGCAAAACTACTTGTTGCACTATAGAATGGTTGGAAGTGCAGGCCATTTCAAGTTTCCTAAAAGATCATTTGAGAATTGTTCCACACGTTTCCAAAGGGGCAAAAGGAAGATTCCAAAGCTGGAATCTTCTTCAAAGCAGAGGGGAAAGAGAGCAAGAGAGGTGGCTTTCAACCTCCTCCCTCAAATGGGGCGAAAAGTGCACAGCACCTTAGTCTGGAGACATTAGTCAGCTTCAACGGCCCAGTAGGAAAACACAGAAAAAGTCAAATCAAATCAAGCATGTCCCCTTCCTTCTGGAAAAGGGCAGCTGGGAAGAAGTGCCGGGCCCAATGCCTGCTCCTCTGCCTACACAAGTCCTCAAGTGAGAGGCCAGCCCAAGAGCAGCGGCTGCCCTCAGACGCTCAGAACTGCCGCCGATTGTTTTTTCAGGAGGAGAATTAGACAAAAATAATGCAAGAGGGAAATAAAAAGAATGACCTACTTTGGGGCTGGGGGGTGGGGGTGGAGAGGGAGCTCCGTGTGAACGTTTTGATCTAATTGACGGTGTGGGGTTGCATGCCCAAATAAGGCGTGGGAGAGGGCCCACGGGACTCCAGGGAGCAAAGGAGACACACCCGAGAGAGACCCTGCAAACAGGGACGGGTGGCCCGCAAGTCCACCTGCGCCACCAGCGCTCGGTCAGGGTCACCATCCTCAGGAAACCCCTTCTGGCCACAGAAGCTACTGTGCCGGCAAAAGGCCAGTTGGGGCGCTTCTTCTCCGGGGCCACTTGCAGGAAGGTGCAAGCAAGGCCGCTGCACCAGGTACAGCACCCAAGTGAAGTCAGGGAGGCGGGGTTCTTCTTTAAGCTGCGGCCGCGGAGAACCCGGGCTGCGCGCGCTCCTCCAGGGATGCGGGACCAGCCAGGTTCCCAGTACTTGGCCGGCATCTGGAGCCCCGCAGTGGCCCACAGCAGCTCGTCGTTGCAGGGTAGGGGGCTCCTCTGTCTCGGCTTGGTGTTCCCCGCAGCTCTGACGAAAGCCTGCCTGTTTGCTCGCGCGCTCCTGTCTCTCGAAGCTGTTTTTTTTTTTTCTTGGATTCTTGCCTGTCTCCTCCCACAGAGGGAGAAAAAAAAAAAGGTCACGTATGTTTGGAAAAATATGTAGGTCAGTGGAACATTTCCTGCACTGGTGCAAAAGGAGAGGAAGGCGGCGGGGGAGGGGAGGGAGGAGGTGGAGGCAGAGCGCAGCTTCGAGAGCGGGGCTCCTGGCCGCGGCCCCCGGCCCGCCATGGGCCTCCGCCGGGGTGGGGACAGTGAGCCGGGTCCGTTCCAGCCTTGACCCATTTTCCGGACCAGCTCGCTTCGCCTGGGAAGGGGCAGCAAGTCGCTCCCCGCCAGCCACTGCCGGCCTCCTCTGCGCTAGCGGGCATCTCCTCCGATCCCGGCCTCCCACCTGCGCCCCCCTCCCCGCTCGGGTTCATTGAGAAATTGCGGTGGTCCCTGCAGAGAACAGACAGCGCGTCCAGTGCCTTGGCCAGGCCCCCGCGCGCACTCCGGCCCCGCTGGGAACGCCACCGAGTGGGTGCCGGTGGCGGGCTCGCCCCTGCCGCGCGAGACAGCAGGGGTGGCGGCGGCGGCGGGCACCTGAGAGGGGCAGGGACCCAAGATTCTCAGCTCCCCCGGAGTGACAACTTTCACGGGACCTTGGTTGGCAGTCCCACATCCGCTTGCCTTGCCTCCGGGCCAGTTCACCTCCAAGCACAACACCCCTTCCCCGCGCCCTGTCCGCCGAGCCGGGAGCTGGACGCACGTCCCTCACAGCCCAGCGGGGGCGGAGGCAGCCTGTGGCCGCACGGAGGTCCCCGGGGTCCATTTGTCTGGGGCGCGCACCAGGTGCACGTCCTTGAGTGGGTTGGGGCTAAGAGAGACCCCGCGGGCGGCGTCAGCGGCGGAGGAGAGAAGGCGGAGGAGGGGGAGGAGGAGGAAAAGAAGGAGGTGGAGGAGGAGGAGGAGGGAGGAGAGAGGAGGCAGAGGGAGGAGGCAGAGGCGGCGGCTCTCCCCGCCGGCTTTGCGTGCGGAAGAGTTTGCCGCGCGAGCAGCCGGCCTCCCGCAGGAGCCGAGAGATCCACAGGGCTGCGGCTGCGGCTGCGGCGACGGCCGGCTCGGAGCTACGAGACCCGCAGCCCCGGCGGCGGCGGCGGCAGCGAGAGCAGCGCCTCCCGCCGCCGCCCGGGAGGAGCTCGCCGCGCCCGCTCGCCTCTCGGCTCCCAGCGGCGGCGGGAGGCGCGTCTCCCCGGCCCTGTCCGCGCCCGGCCCCGCGGCGCCGTCCCGGCCCGCTCCGAGGTAAGGGCCGCACCTGCGGGCGCAGGGCGTGCGGGGTGGGAGGACGTGCGCGTGGGATCGCGGGACTGGGTCATCTGCTCGCCGGCGCTGGGGACGCGCTGGGCCAGAAGGGGCGGGCGCTCCGGCGCGGGGCTGCGCGGTGCTGGGGACCCGGGCGCGCGGATGCCTGTCTCCCAAGCAGTCGTGTTGCGCCAGGGGTCACATCCTGCTAGATCACCGCCGGCACCGGGGTTGGTGGGCTCCTGGCGCGTGTCACTGCGGGAGGCGGAGGACGAGGCACACGGATATCGTCGAAATCCAGGGGTCTTCAAGTGGGTACCATCTGGGTGGTTAGGGGCCTCCGCAGTTGGGGGGGGGGGTGTCCTCAGCACCTTCCCCGAAGCCCCGCTGCGAGCCCTCCCCAATCTTGGAGATCCTCGGATCCCGGAGTGGTCAGAGGGAGCACCCCAGGCCCGCGGTGTGTCCGGGTTCCTGGGTCGGAGTGGGTGCGCTTGGAGGGCGCTGTGTCCGGGCTGCCCCGCAGCTCCCCAGGCTGGCAGATGTGCCTGCTCTGCAATCGAGAACCCGTGCACCTTTAACCTTTCTAAAGCTCACAGCGGGCCCAGTCGGGCGTCCCCTTGGTGGGAAAAAGGTACGATTTCTAAGGGGCCAAATCCCAAACCAGCCTGGCTCCTGCGCTTGCCACTCCTAACTGCTCAAGGTAAGGAAAGTTTGGCTTCAGCCTTGTGATCCATAAATAATGAGTACGCACGCAGTTTTGTTGATCAAACAAAATGGAAACCTGAAATCTCCAGTCACACTCCAAACCTAGTCGCGAAACTCCCGAGGCTTAATCGGGAAGGCTCGGTCCGAAAGTTAAAAAAGAAAAAAAAGCCTTGGAGTTCCACAGGTGTTACAGGTGTTTTGGAGGTGCATTCTCGCCTGCCGTCGTTACCCGTGGCTCTGGTACCCACCCCCAAACTTATTAACGTGATTAGCTTGTTGATTCACGGGTCAAATATTGAATCGTTATCAAATTAGCTTGAGCAGCAGCCAGTCCGTGGTCACAGCTTCTTGATCCTGGGAGGAGGGGTCTCTCCCCTCCCCCCGCCTTAGGACTTCCCAGGTGATTTCGCTCTAAAGCAGTTTCAGCCAAGATTCAGCTGTGAGCACTTCGGTCTCCTGCACACACTGTACCCAGCCAGTAAGTTGACCAACTAATTAGGGCTTTCATCAGAAACAGAACTGGCCTCCTTGGGAGAAGCTGTTCGTATTCAAGAGCACATGTTAGCGCAATCTCTGTGCCGATGAAACTGCCAGAAATAACCCCCAAAATGCTTCTTGAAAAGGACCTCTAAACAAATGGAGGTGTCGTATTTGGAGGGGTGATTCTGACCCCAGCCATTATTTTACCTAGGCAAGAAAGTCAGTATACCAGGGCGCAGCAGAGCCCAGAGCCAAGGCGGCATTGGTGTTTCTTAACAGTCAACTCACAGATTTAGCTGGAAATAAACCGTGCACCCTGAAGATATACAGTGATTATCTTCCATCTCACAGAGATGTGGAGAGTGGCTTAGGAGAATTGCAAATAAGTTGCTTTTAGTCATTTTCTTCGGGGAAATCAGTGCTTCTATTTATTTGCTGGCCTGTCCCACTGTGTTTAAATGCAGAATGATCTTTATCGTCACTCTCCCCAACAGTGGCTCCTGTGGAGGCCAAGGGGGGGGATGCGTTCTAGAAGGAAATACGCTATTAATAAGATGTCATCTCCCGAAGAGCTAAACATGCCAAGAAAAATCCACGTGAGGCTTTCCTAATTAGTGTGATTGAAAAAAAATCCCATGAGAAGACGGGAGAGTGTTCAGATGGTGGCTATAGAATTGATCTCCATGCAGAAAATAACAATTGCTTTTAAGCTCATTGGTTCTTTTGGAACAATTTGGAACCCTTTTTAAAGTGTTGGCTGTTTAATAATGAAGATGGCAAGAACCTGTCCCCTAATGTGTCACTATTTAGCTGAATTCATCTGTGTGTGTGTGTGTGTGTCTTTCTTAACTCTTGGGAATCTTTATAGCTCTCTCTTAACATGATTATTTGTTCTTAGATTACCGACTCAAAGTTGACGATGGGGCGGGAGCATTAAAATAGTAATGCAAGCATATGCTTTTAATATCTTCAAATGTTAACTTTTGCAAAGTATCTTTTTTTTTTTTTTTTTTTTTTTTTTTTAGATTTTAAGGACATAGGCGGCGAGGTCTTCTTATTTCTTAGAACAAGTAGGTGTTTCTGGCTTTACATGAATTGTTCAGTTTTTCCAGAGTGACCGTGACACTGGCTGCCCCGTGCACACGGCGACATCCCTTTCCTGAGACAGGTCAGATTGAAAATAGCCCAGTGACTCAGGATTCTTGGCTGCTTTCTACCAACGGTTTAATTGGCTGCATCCTAGCAAGTATCTAATTGAGTTTCACATTTAAATAGTGGAGATGGTACTTGATGTGTTGTTTGCTCACAAAAATGTTTGATTAGCACGTTCTGGATGATCCTCGTTCTGTTGGCTGGAAAGCCAGGAGGTCAGGGACAGTCATCTCATTCCCCAGGGGCCTTGTTCATAATAGATACTCAGTGAATATGGGTGGGAAATGAGCCGATTGTCAGTAATTGCTCCCCAAAGGTTGGGCATTTCTGAATGCTGATGGGGCTTCAGGATGAGAGATTCTATTTTGAACCTGATGATCATGCACAGTCCCTGCAAGCACTAAATAAACATGAAATACGAGCAGCTTTACCAGGGGAATTTTTAATGCTGTCTTTAGCTAAGGCCCTGCCGTTTTCCTGTTGAATTCTTTGAGAGCTGGATCACTTGGTGTTCTAGGCAAAGCCATTTCGTAGGTACAGTTTCTCCTGGAGAGCACTTGAACTTCCATGGGCCTTAATGTATGTTTCCATTTGATGATTCAGTGATGGAGGGAGTTTATTTTCTCCACTGATGTGGGGAAACAATGATAGAAAGAGGTGGACTGTGATGTCTGTGGTGGTGCACATAGCGTGTCACCTGGAGCTCGGCTGTCTAGCTTGGGACTTGAGTTGTTGCATGGTAAATGTTTGAGCGGATGGACAGGCCCAATCTGAGTGTTACACATGATCCATGTGGATGAAAAGTCACACTGCAACCCCAGAAGTACATGTAATGTACGCCAATTAAATAAAAAGGCTGGAGGAGGTGACCCACAGTGGATGGACCAAGATCTGTATGACACGTGGCTATAGTTTCTGTGATGCTCGTGGAAACTGGTTCTTTGAGGAAGTTTATCAAAACAAAGAGAAATAGACCAGCTGGTTTGTGTAGCCACTGGGAGGAGGGGTCCTTAAATATACAGGGTGGACAGAAGGGCCTGGATCTCTTCTCTTTGAGGGACAGTGGTCCATTTCCTGGCAGGACACTCTTAGATTAGAACCATCCATCAGTTCTGTTAGCTGAAGTGACTGTAGGGGGAGCCAGAATTCACCTGGATTCTTTGAGGACTCCCTGTCACCCCCTGAGAAGACTGTACGCTTCAGACACCCAGAAGGCCTGACTTTCCCAACTCAGGGACCTTCCCCACCCCAATCTTAGGCCATCTGGGTGACCCTAAAAATACACCAATACAATTCTGCTTTTTACTTTGATGTTTTGGGGTTCTATTATTTGCAAAGAGAATTTCTCTGCTATCGCCTTTCCTTCTTTGTGATCCCTAAAACCGAGTGCTAAGAGAATGGCAGCAGCAATTGCCAGCATGAAGCAGGAAGAACAAATAGGGGGAGTAGCTGAACCAGGAAGACCTGGTGGGGAAGGGGAGAGATGGGGTGGGGGGTGGACATGGAGCACTCAGCATCCCAGACAGGGATCAGAAGAGTGTGAGTCCAAAAGGTGCAAAGTGGAACCCAGGGTTCCAACTGGGCGGATGGCACTACTTTGTTGAAAGTAGCATTCCTGGGTTATTGAAGCTATTCTTGGCATCCAGAAGACAGAGCCTGTCCCTCTATAAGCAGGCAGGAGGCAGAGCCCTCCAGCAGCACAATTCTTCTAGCCCCTTTGGAGCCAAAGAGGGTGTTTCCCAGCTGCCCAGAGGATGCTTGTCCCTCTTAGTGGGCAAGGCATGAAAATCTGGAGATAATTTTTTAAATGCTTATGTTTCTATTTATAAAAAAGCATATTGCTAAGTTTTTTGGATAGGAATGAATAGTAGCCACTGGTTTGTAGTCTATGAGGGCACTGCAAACAGTTCATAGGAAATGGAATGAAAGTTTATTTTGGTGTAGAAGATACTTGCAATTCATGCAAATGAAGGCATCCTCAAAAAGTTCATGGAAAGGATAAATTACAGAACTATGTTGGCATTACAAATTTTTTGCATCTAAATAAACTTATCTATGAATTCCAATTTTCCATTCACATTTTTAAGTTCCTTCATATTTCCTTCTGTTTTTTTCTAGGTGTTAAGGTATTCTTAGATTATAAAAAAGACACATGGATATAATTTTATGAAAATTTTCTTTTTTTATTTTTTTTAAAGATTTATTTTTTATTATTTTTTCATTGGAAAGGCGGATATACAGAGAGGAGAGACAGAGAGGAAGATCTTCCATCCGATGATTCACTCCCCAAGTGAGCGCAACGGGTCGATACTATGCCGGTCCGAAGCCAGGAGCCTCTTCCGGGTCTCCCACGCGGGTGCAGGGTCCCAAAGCCTTGGGCCGTCCTCGACTGCTTTCCCAGGCCACAGGCAGGGAGCTGGAAGGGAAGCGGGGCTGCCGGGATTAGAACTGGCGCCCATAGGGGATCCCGGGCGTGCAAGGCGAGGACCTTAACCACTGCGCCACTGCGCTGGGCCCAATTTTATGAAAATTTTCAAATAACACAGAATTGTACTAGTAAAACCCCGTGGCCAACTCAACATTCATTCATTCACTCTAGTTTTTTTTTTTTTTGGCTGACAGAAGTCTGATGTTGTTCAGGGATCTGCCTCCCTTCACCTGTC